AGGCTGAAACTGCTTCTGCGAGGGGGCGGGGAGCTTGGCGCGGGGCTGGGTGGGCTGGGGACTTGGACATTTGAAGCCACCAGGATCTGGAGCTGTCTTTCTTTTTTCTAGAGACGTTCTGGAAGGCGTGACCTCTGAGAAGAAGAAGCATTCCAGGACCTTAGGGAGAGGAGCAAAACCCAGAACAGCCTGGCCCTAAATGGATTTTTCCTTTCTCAATTCATACTGTTAAATGCACACTCTGGGCCTGGCACTGGGCTGGTCGCATCCACATGTGTTGGTTCCATTTGGGAGGTATGAATAGTCCACTTTTGGCGAAACCTTGTAAGTTAAGAAGGTTTTATATTTTTAGTCCTCATTTACTATGAAGAAAATTAGACTCAGAAGATCCAAATGACCTGTCCAAGGTTACCTAGGTAACATGTGAGAAGACAGCATTTGAATCTATACCCAAAGTTGAATGAACTCTTTTCACTACGCTGCTCCAGAAGAGATGGAAATTCCAAGGAAAGTCAAGCACCATTCTTGATGTGGAGCAGAGAGCAATTTCCTTTCCAGTTCTGCTCATCACTGCCCAGTGTCAACGGAGGCACTTGCTTTCTCCCTCTTGTCTCCTCCCTGCCTGAAAACCTCATTTGCATGCGGTCTGAAACAGTGCGTTTGGCTCATTCTTTCAGGAAACAGTGGAGGGTGGAGAGACTAGCTTTTTCTGGAGTCTGCCAATGCCTAGGTCAAAATTTTTTCTGCAGTAATAGGCTGTCAGAATGAATCTTGTCTGATTATTTTTCCCCTCCAGGACAGGCGGTGTCTGTTCCACCCGCTCTGTTTTTTCCAGACAACTTCCTCTTGGAGAAGGGATAGCACATATGTTTGTATAGTGTTTCTTCCCCTCCTTTGCCCACGGCAGACATTTCTAATCAATCTTGGCATTTCATCTCACTGATCCTAGCCTCCGCGTCAATCTTTTCTATTCAGTTAAGTTCTAGGCATCCGCTACCAAGCCAAGAAAATCTACTTTTCATCCTTTTTCTAAAACAAGACTCCATCAAATTGAGTTTCCCAACCAATCTTTTGCACTGGGAGGATGATATCAACTCTCTCCCCATTCATCTCCTGAATGCAAGGCTCATTTCAGAAAAGTCACTTCCTGTTAGAGACTCTCCGTGTGGAGTGCACTGTTAAACCACTTAATCTGACCGTCGTTAATTAAATATGAGCAGGATTGGTCCCCATGTGAATTCACAACAAGTCCATTCTATGTGGCTTCGCCTAAATGTTTGAATTTCCTTTGAAAATTCGAGAATTTCCAAACATCTCAGGATATATGAGGTGATTTTCAAGAGCACTTTATAATCCAGGGTACCAATGATGGGTTAAACTTAAAGTAGGAGTGAGTCTGACTGTCCCCACCAAGCAGGTCTGCTTTGAGCATCAGGAAGTTGCGTGATGCAGCAAGCTCCACGTGAGCTCCAAACTCAAGGGCAGAAGTGGCTGCATTATTTATAGTTTGTGCTCAGTGTTCCTCGCAGGCAGATGCACGGTTCACGGTGACCTGTGTGGGGGCTCCCTGCCTCCTCTCCCAAGTGAGTTAAGAAAACAAAACTCCAATGATCAGGACTTGTCACTGCTGCTTAAATAAAACCAAGAAGCCAGAGTTCCTGGAGGCGGAGATCACAGACTCAAAAAATGTTGGGATAAGTCTCCGAGTCATCAAAGCCCACTTGACATGGAGGGCGCCATGACAAAAACAGCAGAAAAAGAAAGCAACTCCTCTTCCATGTGTGTTCTGCTCAGTAAATGTTGTGCTGATCTTTCTCTTCTTTGCCCCTAGGGAGTTCTGATCAAACTGTCATTTGCATATGGCCTAGGTTGAGCCACATATGCTCAAATTAAAGAGAAACTCTCTTCAAGGGGAAATCATCCCTTTCATAAAAGGGAGCCTACTTGATATGCAAATGCTGCTTCGGTCCTAACTTAAGAATTCTTCTGACTCATATGAAATTTAGTCTGTTCCTCCACGTGGCACGTGTACCAACACTCTCACTTCTGTGCCCCGAGTAGACATCACTAATCAATCGTGACTCTGGTTCTGGGTTGGGAAGCAGCCTCAGATTTGCCATCCACCTGGTGCTCCAGGAAGCTACCATCAGCCCGTGAGAGTTGGCTCTCGCTCAGCTTTTATCTGAGATAAAAGCTGCTGCCATTCTGCCATTTGGATATTACTCATGTGGATGCCAGGGGCTCCACTTTGACTGGTATGGATGACATGCAAGCCTTCTTCCCTCTTCCACCCTCATTTATCAAAGTCCGTGGCTGTGCCTCAATACCAAACACCATGCAAGGCCTGTCAGTAGAAGGGCCCAGTAATTCCTGCTTTTTCCCAACTTATCCTTGAATCTATCCAGCCTCATCCTATTCTACTGACAAGATCTCCCTTGTCCCTAGACTCGGCACCTTCCCATTTTCTTCTGGTCCCTTTGAATCAGACCCCTCACAAATCAAACCCTGGTTGACTTGTCCTAACCCCCTTGGGGAAAAGAGCACAAGATTCTGACAAAGACAGCCCGTTCTAAAATTATAGTAATGAGAGTTGAACTTCCCATCTTTGCAAAGTATCTTCAGATCCATGATCTCAGTTAATAATCTAAATAATTTGGGGAAGCAAGAATTTAAAGACCACGAATTTTGACATCAAACAGGAATAGGTCCAAACCTGGGCTCCACTGATTACCAGCCGGGGAACCTTTGGCACCTCACTCCGCCCGTCTGAGCTTCAGTTTCCTCATCTGGAGAGCGTGGCGGTGGCTACCTCATGGGGTTGTAAAGACTTGCCTTGCACACAGACAAGCATGCTCCTAAGACCAGGGGGAAGCCCTCAGGCAGAGCTGCAGGCTCTCTGCAGACTGAAGCTGTTGGCAGAAGCAGTGCGCGCTAGGGTGGAGATGGGAAGATTACCAACGCTTCTGCCACAGATGCAGAAAGTAGAGGCCGGGGAGTCCGGGGGCAAACCCACCCTCATACAAAGACTGAATGGCAGTGCAGCGGGAAAGAAAACATATCATTCTAGGTTCAAACTGTAGCTGCACCACTTGCTCGGGGGTGAAATGAGAATATCAATAACTGTCTGGTCCTATTTTCTGTGGATTGAATTGTATCGTGTAGGTAAACCACCTCACACAGAGCTCAAAACCTGTTGATGGCAACAGTACTGCTCGGTGACCTTTCCCTTTCCTTCTGACCCCAGCATCCTGCCACTAGGACAGGTAGCCTCCCTGGCAGGCAGTAGAACTTGATTTCCCCATCCATCCATCCACCTATCCCTTCATCCAGTAGCTATTGAATATCCCCTAGTGCCAGGCCCTGTGTAGGAGATGGAGACATGCTGGTGAGAAGACATGACCTTGGCCCTTCTCCTGGACACAGATAAGCAATCAAGTGAGTGCAACAGAGGACCGGAGGTGCTGTAGAAGCAGTTTCCACAGCAGTGCTTCTCCAACATTAATGGGCAAGTGAGACCCCAGAATATTACTAAAGTGCAGGTTCTGACCCAGGGTCTGGGATGCAGCCCATGATGGTACATTTCCAACCAGCTCTCAGCTGATTCTGATGCTGCAGTTTAAGCAAAGAAACTCTACAGAACTCATTGGGGAAGCAAAGCAGGGATTAATTCGTTCTTGGGGGAAGATACTTGCTTACTCGTCAGGTTATCTCGACATTGACATCCTCTCCTTCTGGACGGAGGAATTTATGGACTCCGTGAACTGGAAAGGGTCATTCAAGTTGATTGAATCCAGGTGGATAGGAAGGTGACTCTCTTACCATCCCCCAAAGAGAGATGTACAATGTCTTCATGAAGACACGAAGAGGGAGAGGACACCATGCCCTCTCTTGATAGCGTCTGAGTACTTGAATTGCCAAGAAATTTTTTCACGGTCACAATTCTTGCATGGGAGTAAGTAAAACCCTCATTTTTGTAAAACCAACATGCCTCCCGGAAGCCTGCAGTAGGGTCTTGCTTGCACCTGTGGGACCAGTATCAGAATGCAAGCTCAATGTCAAATGGGCACGCTGGTGAGGTTACAGCTACTGAATATGCAAGTTGGATAACGAGGTAAGCAGACTGCACCACCCAGATTTCTGATTCATCCCCTACCTTTTCTTCCTGAGAAACTTCTCAGTCCCTTCCCTTTTCTTTCTTTCTTTTTTAAATATATTTTCATTGATTTCAGAGAGGAAGAGAGATGGAGAAATAGAGAGAAACATCAATAATGAGAGAGTCATTGATTGGCTGCCTGCTGCACACCCACTACTGGGGATTGAGCCTGCAACCCAGGCATGTGCCCTCCTGGTTCCTAGGTCCACGCTCAACAACTGAGCCACACGGCTGGGCCCCTTCCCTTTTCTGGAACACATCCATTGCATTAAGCCTAAGAGAGCCAGCAGGAAGAGCATGCAAATGGGGTTCGATTTCATTTGAATTTTCTTCAACCCAGATCTAAGACAAACAGCAACCACCAAACAGGCTGCAGAGGCCTCAAGGGTCAATCAATATTTTCAATAAGCAATGCGTGTACTTATTAAACATGTCATCATCTAAGATTATGTTGTCATTTGTGGGAGAATAGGGGTCGAGATCGAGGATTCTGTACTCAGAATAAACCCCCTCCCTTTGTATGTGCTCAAACTAGCTTAATCAAGTTTCTATTACTTCCCATAAAAGGCTCTTGATTAAAAGAGAAGTTTCCAGATGGTCCAGGCCAGCAAATGTTCCCAGCTCAAGGAATATTTGTTGAGGAATGAATGAGCAACGCTATCACCCAAAAGGAGGAAATTATGTGGAATTGTTGTGTCAGCAAGACACGAAGGAGGCCTCCCATCACCCAGCATCTCACTTTGCTAATAGCTGCCCAGCCTCTTGCAAAGGGAGTTCAGCAGACTCATCGCTGGCAAGGGGCGAGCGAGGAGAATTTTATGTTCGGAAGGAGCTCTGAGTTCAAAGATGTGAGTGTGGGTTCCAGACTCTGCCCCTCTGCCAAGGAACCGAACGCCCTTCAATAAGTCACCCAATGCTCAGTTTTTCCCATGGTAACGTCATTCTGTCGTAAAAATGCATTGGCTGCCAGGATGGCATCTGCACCCTCTTCCCTCTCCTAACAGCATCAATATGCTTTAGGGGAAATTGGCTCCAAGCCCCAAAACAGCATCTTTTAGTCCCCCGGCCACAGTCCCCTGTTCAGGAGTGGCCTCGGGGGGTGCCGCTGAGGCACGTCTCCAGAATCTTGCATGAAATGCAGAAACAGAAGTGCTCTTCTTGCCCCGTGGATATGAACGAGAAATCATGAAGCATTGTTGGCTGCAACCATATTGCCATCATGAAGGAAGCCGGCTTGAGAATGAATCTGACTTGCAAAGTAACGGGGGGAAAGATTACAGAGAAGTTAAGCCATAGTGATGATCACACTGCATCCAAAACTGGTACATGTTTCCTCCAGATATTTCAGTCCTATGTCAATAAGTTCCCTTTATTTGTATGCCCTTTGGGGTTGAGCGTTTGTTACTTGAAAATGAATACATGCATCCACGAATCAATTCCCAGTACACGTGACAGCACGGTTTGTGGTGTCTGAACTGGAATCGTATGATTTGCATGAAAGTACCTTGTCAACCCTGAAATTCTGCTCATAACTCCTTCTAACAATACCAGATAATTTATCCATATCCAAGTGTGTATTGTGAATTTTCTGTCTCCCCTGTGAGAATGGAAGCTCCATCAAGGCAAGAATTATTGTTTCATTCACCAGTATAACCCGAGTTCCTAGAACAATCACTGGCACATAGAAGGTGCTCAGTAAATATTTGTTGAATAGACGGATTTAATGCAAAGTGCTACAGAAAAATTAAGCAGAGTAATGGGGTGGAGAGTGATCAGTTAAAAGTGGGTTTGAGCCTGGTTTAGATAGAAACCCAAGAAGGGTTCCCTGAGTAGGTGGCCTTTCAGTTAAGAGCTGCATAGTGAGAAGTGGATAGCCAATATGAAGATCTTAAGAAAGCATCCAGACCTAGGATGGCATATGCAAAGGCCCTGAGGCAGGGAAGAGATTGGTGTGCTGGAGGCCTAGAATGCCAGGGAGAATAAAGAAGGATGGTAAGAGGGAGAGTAGTGGCAGACAGGGCTGGAGAGGTATAAAGTGAGAATGAGTTTTGAACCCTGCTAGTTGAATACAAATTCTTCACTTAACTACAAAGTACCATAAGCCATAAATATTCTTATCAAAGTGCCTGGGATGTGAAGAGAAGGCTCTTTAATAAATACTCATGAGGTCCAATTCATTCTCTTTGCTCTATGAGCAGTTGGCTGAGGAATCGGGGGATATTTAGCCTTTCAAAGAAATGTGGGTTATGACAGTTGCCATCTCCACATAAGCAAAGGTCTGTCATGGAGAAAATGGCCCAGAATTGTTCCACGTGAAAATTAAGTCCAGTGGATGGAGGCCACAGGGAGAGAGATTTCAGCCCAATATGAGATGAGCTTTCTCACAAACTCCACATAGGTGAAATTCTGGTAGTGAGTTCCCCATCATTGGAAGAATTCAAGGTTGAACTTTTACTTGGTAGGATTAGGTAGATGGTACCCAGGCACTGGATGGACTAAGACAGGGGTGGGCAACCCCTGGCACACATGCCAAACATGGCACACCATTAACTTTTGCTGGCACGCGAAACCCTCTCTTATAATCTTCCATTTACAATTTTGTTCTTAATTCGACTTTTTTGTTTTTCAGGTAAATTCATTGTACGTGCATCTTAGATAAATAGTTTTACATAACAAGTTATCTTAAAGACCATAGACATTGACTGACGAGAGAGGGGAAGAGCAATTTCTATGCCTCTGCCTTAACTCTCCCTGAAAAAATAAATGTATTTTTCATCGTCATATACTGTTTTTGTCGCTCAAATGAATTTTATTATTTTTTCAAGGTTCTTCACATACGTACACCTTAAGAGATATCAAGTAGGCATAACATGTTCTCAAAAAATTAGGGTTGGCATGCAGAAGAATTTTGAGTCAGAGATTTTGCTGGTTTTGGTACGCACTCATAAAAAGGTTGCCCACTCCTGGACTAGGACCTAGTCACTAGGTGATCTGCCAGCCATGCAATTTGATGACTTTATGATAATCTCTTATTCTTGCCATCTAAACACACTAGTGTTTGATCTCTAGTCTTTGTTTACAAAACCCATCATTAAAATCCTCACAGAACACATCTACTAATAAGGCAAGGACTGGAATAAGTAATGAGAGGTGAAGGCACCCATCCTTTGTTCAATAATGCGATATTTTTCTTGAATAATGCATGAGCTGCTTTTCATCTCAGAAATGAGAGAGTCTGTAATCTCATTGTGCGTCAAGTGAATATTTTTAAACATTTATAAATGGGAGGTGAAGACTGGTGAGAAGCTTAAGAACAACAAAAGCATGCATACATAGCTTGCAGCCAGTATAGGCAGGTATGCTTCCATTAGTGTCACAGAGGGATGGAATGAACCTGAGAGGCCACCATCCCGTCCCCATCTGTTATGGTACCCAAGGTCATGCAAGCAAGGACAAGAATCCAGGTCAAGACAGCTACTCTATAGGCTTTTCCCCCTAACCCATGCTGATTTCCAATCTCCATAAAGGACTGGTTCAGCCCTAAGATTTAGCACTTTGTTCCCAAATTATTTTAAACTCTCCCCCACCTTCACCACCACCCTGACTGTGTGGTGGGTAAACTACTGGAGACAGTAGCAAGGATACTGGTGTCTATTTGATTACTCCTTATTTGCTAGTACTGTATTGGAACCTGGATTCAGTGCTCAGCCAATAGACTACATTTCCCAGACTCCCTTGTTAGGTGTGGCCACATGACCACATTCTGACCAAGGAGATGCTAACAGATATGGGGCAGGAAATGAGGACAAGGCACTTCCAGGAAGGTTCTAAAAAAAGTTGACAGTGCTGGGCGGTGCCCCCTTTTTACTATTTCCATCCTCCCTCTTTCCTACACTGCATGTGCGATGAGCAGGAACAGAAGGAGAGGTGGCCAAGAGGCAGGTGAGGACCAGATCATGTAAGGTTTCAAACACCGAGCCAAAGAGTTTGACATCTGTCCTTTGTTGGCTTCTTATATTAATGACACCTGCCATCCCATCTGAAAGCATTGGACCACTTGATTCTTCTTTCTTCGATGAGGAAGGTGGCAGAGTGAGATCCTATTTGCCCTCTGGCTCCCAAAGCAAATGGAGAGTGATGCATTTTACTTTAAATATCCTTTTAGTGGTCTCTTTGTGTTTCATCTCAGAAGATTATAGCAAATGAAGAAACAGGGTGTTTGGGGGGAAAAAGACATCATAACAGCTAACATGTAGGCCTTCAGCTAAGCACTTGCATTTCGCTTATTCCTCATGGCAATACCATGGGGAAGGTAGGACTATTCCACCTCTTTGAAATGCTGAGGAAACAGGTTCTGAGAAGTTACGTATTAACTGGGGGTACATGAGTGGGGCTGGAGAGCTGGGATGCAAACTCAGCTCTTTCTTGTTCTGTTGTTGATTCTCCTAGTCACGTGCTTCTCTCTAGATCTCTAATTTCTGTGCGTGTGCAGAATTGAATGCAAGAGAGAGAAACAAGGAGAACATTTTGGGGCTGGCCAGAGAGAGGACCACGCATTACCCATGAACCAAGAGCTAAAGGACCCCTTACCCCTCAGCACAGCAGAAGGCAGAGTTCACACTTCTAGGCTACAAAGTGGCCACAGTAAAAATCGAGGTGCACAGAGAGAGACCGTCTTCAGCATCTGCTTTACACATATGGCATCACCTCAGTCCTGCTCCCTGATAAGCATGACTCCTGTGCAGGGGCTGAGATGGGAAAGGTTGTTTGATGGCCCAGTGGGGAAAGGATGTATCCTCCTTTGGGAGCTAAGAGGTAATTAATCAATATTCTCCAACAGAAGACCCTGTTTCTCTAGCTCTCAAGTTGTTCTATAGCTATGAAGATGTCCCCCAAAAGCGTATTAATAATAAATTTTCTACTGTTGAGTAAAGCAGGCCCTTCATATATTTCTTCAGTCCTCCTGAAATCCAGCATGTTGAGTAGCATTATCTTAATTTCATGAATAAGGAAAATGAAGCACAGTGCAATTAAGAAGCATAGTCAAGAGCACACAGTCAGAGAGTGGCAAGCGAGGGATTCTAACCTGACATTGAACTGGCTATTCCACAGACCCATACTGCCCCCCAGAGATAACCTCTCAAAGCAAGTGAAAAATGAGAGCTGGAATCCAGACAAAAGGAAAAGCAATGAGTGGACCTGGAGTATCCATTCGCAGCAGAACCCTTTTACATTGGAGGGGCCCAGAGTGAGCAGGGCACCATTTCTGGGACCACTGGATGGTCCCACCCACCCCCCTTTCCACAGCAAGGTCTCCTGCTCTAAGTTAGCATTTGAATTAACATGATTTTTATTGTATGTGAAGCCCACAGTGAACACAGTCCAGGGGCCCTAAAGACAAAGGAGGCTGGAGGAAGGGGAATCAATAATGTGATTGATGTTCATTTTTAAAAGCCAAATCTCAACCCTTCTTTCTACAGATTTCTACTTAATTAACCCCAGCAAACCCTGTGCCAAGGTCTGAGCTCTGTTCTGTCATTTACCTGGCTCTGAGGACTTATTTCTTGTGACCATAGTTTGCACATCTAAAAGCAAGATGTTGAGGGAGATGGTCTTCAACCCAAACTCTAATACATCCATCCAGCAAGAATGTTGGGTTTCAGAGGTCATGTCAGCTCAGCGAGAGTCTTCTGCTTGGGTAAGGAATGAAACTGTACCAGGCTCATAAAGCAGAATTCACTCTTCTGCAGCCCTTGCTTCTCCCTGGGGCAGGAAAGCTGCCTTCATCTGGCCCAGAGGTTACAGCTCCTTTGTCTCTGGTTTTATAGGGAATGGAAGGACACACTTTAATTGCCCCT